GGGCGACATAGAACATACCCAATCGGAGCCTGATGATATTTGAAGGAGTGGGGGATATTGAACGTGGCCGAAATGATATTCCCACTCAAGGGGAGGTCAGGGTTTCGCATTGCGGACGTCGTCGATAGATTGGCGGCGAGCCATAGTCTCGAGCGTCAGAAGCTGCAAAGCGTTCACCTCTTCTGTATTTTTGGCAACGGCAGGAACAGCGGCGCTTTGGCGGTAGGATTGCGGATTGTGATGGAAATAGCTTTGCCCTTCCTCGCTCGGGGAGTCGTAGGTCTCGAGATGGATGCCGGGGGTGGCAGCGTAGGCGGCGGCAGCAGCACGAGAGGAAAGACCGCGGACGGGCGACTCACTAGGATCAGTCGCGTTGGAGAGGCTTGAGGGAGATGCCGGTCTGTTCGGCTCGTGGCCGTGGCCAAGGTGATAAGATGGGTTCTGTGTCATGGTGGATGTGTTAATCAGAGGACGACCAACTCGCGCACACAGTGAAGTTGAGTAGTGCAGGATGCAGTGAGAGGACGCGGCAAGGAAGGCTCATAAGTCTCGAGGTTTCCAGTTCAAGGAGGTTGATATCATTTGGCGAATTTGCAGACCAATACGCCGTCAGCCGGAATGGGTGACCAGGCCGTGACGCAACAACCAGAGGCCGCGGAAGCCTTTGATGGGATGGCGGTGGGACAAGATAAGGAGCGGCGGAGGGGTAGCCGATGTGACAAGTCATTCCTCAGCCGGCAACAGGAAGAGACTGACAGCGGCCACTTCAATGGGCTCTGACAGGCGCTGCCGGCTTGATGCGTTACCCCGTCAAGGTGGCCGTCCTCGATCGATTTGCGGATCATCCGAAGTGCGCCAGGACCATTTGCTCCTGAGAACGGGCTGGACCTTTGCGCGCCTTGGGGCCTTGCCTCTTGGCGGACAAAATGTGTTTGAGGGCCAGGGTTGTCTATCGTCGATGCCCCCTTGACGCGTGGGCAAGCAATTGGTCAAAATAGGCTCCGGTAGCAAGTTTCCTGGTCAAATTGATCGGAGGTCGGCGATGGGTAACCGTGGGCGATGCGGCCTGTTGTCTGCATCCTGCGGCGGTTTTGGTCCTGCGATACCGGGATTGGCTCCAGAACTTGGTTCCTGGATTTCCTGGGCCCTGGATCTTTTCCTCCCTCCTGTGTGACCCGACAAAGGATGGATTGGTCGGGCCAGGCGCGTCAAGCGGGAGTCTGCGTCGGTCGATTGTTGGAGCTTGGGAGAGCTTCG